CTTTTGTCCAGTTTCTGAAAAGATATGAGGAGCTTGAGTGCAAACAGCTAACGGCTGATGTTGTTTTTTCTGGGGTGCTCACGGGTGCTCATTGAAGATGGTGTCACGGCTCCGCCTACACTGCGTTACTATAGTTACTGCCCCAGCTCCTAAACTGTAATGGAAGCGCAGCATTAAAGTGAGCCGGGCCTAATAAGGCCTAACCAAACCGAGCGAGGCCGAGCAAGGCCTGCGGTGGAAATATGCCATTAGAGAGCTAGCCAATTGAAATTGAGTGTTAAATAGTGATGATGTCACTACGGGGGGGGGGGGGGCTTGAGTTTATGAACTTTGGAATTAAGCCTTTGCAGACCTTTTACATGCACTAAAACCTATACTGGCAAACCCCAAAAAGCATAATAGGTCCTCTTTAAGATTGAATGTGTGTGATACGGACCTTGTATGGCCTGGGGAGCTCCGGCTTCTTAATCTTGAGATAGACAAGTCCAGAGAGGGTGATGCCATAGAAAAACCAGGCAGTGAAACTAACATGTAATAAGGAAGAAATGTCAACATTAAATCCATGCAAAGGCAGAAAATTATAAAATACCAGACATCTATTTTCTATAACTCTATCTCATGTTTTGGGGCATTTTGGGGCTTTTGTCAGGATAGGGGAATCCTTCACACAGCCTTTATACTGTTATTATCATGCAGGCTAGTTATCCAAAACTGGCAATACCCACAACCTCCAAAATGAATTTGATGGTTAAGGGATCATTCATGAATGAAACTAGAAAAAACGAAGCGTCCATTCCTGGACTATGGGAATCTAATCTTTAAACTTCCTCGTATGTCATGTGCTGACCATGCAGTCATGGTTTTTATTTTTAGGACACACTGGATACATCTATTAATTATTTTATATTGAATACTTAAGATACTTGAAACCCCTCTTTAGTTTGTGTTTTTTTGTGAGGATTAGGGTTTTTAATCTACTATTAAATATGTATTTGTTAAACTGAAAACCAATCAACTCAAAACAAACCTAAAACACATGCAAATCGGACCCAGCTTTCACCTGAAGAAGTTGACAATGCTCTGGAAGTCTCCGGGGATCAGCACCAGAAGAGAGACCACGGTGGTAAAGATCAGCGCTGGAGATGGAGTCAGTCTGCGGACGTGAGCCATGGCTAGGATATCTGGCTAGAGAGTAAACACAAGTCAGTGCATGAAGATCGTCACGCTTATGCTCCTGAACAATCTAACTATTATTTTAATCATAAAGTGGAGATGCTCACCAGGTGACCTTCCCTGGCAGCAACAAAGCACACACGGCCCCCACTGAAGAACGTTCCGTTCAGTGATCCGAAAGCAGACAACGCTGCGGCCACAGACATGGTCCAGCCCCAGCTTCCTAACACTTTGTTCCTGTGGAAAAACGCACAAGTTCTCACAAAAGTTGCAACAGGAACCTTTCCAATTTTCTAAAGCCACATGCTGCAGTACATAGAAGGTGTAAACATGGGAATTTTATTCAGATTTGTCCTGAAGATGTTTGGACTGAAGACTATATGGAAAACGTTTTGTTTGGCAAGAATCTCTACGACGTATTTTATGTTTTAGAACTAAACTTGTGTTAAACACAGACCTTATTTTTAGCTTTAGCTTTAGCCACAAACACGTACAAAAATAAAAAACGTCGACTTTGAGACAAGGAAATCGGACGTGGTAAAATGCTAACTGAAATCCGGGATTTAGGACTCACTTCTGCACCACACCATCAGAACCAACATCTTGTGCTCATATTGCATTTTAGGTAATGTATGCGCAACGTTGAAATGCTATATAAATACTCAAAAGTTTCAGACATAGGGTACATAGATGTATATTCAGACAGAAACTATGACAAAAAGTATGTGTATTTTGAACATTAAACATGTACCCAAGTTACAGAAGAAACCAAATGTACATATATGAAACTCCGAATTAGCATCATATGTATTCTTTGAAAAATCACTGTGTGATGTCACAGTAGTTCACTCTTTCCATGCTCCTTTGAAATGAGCAATTTTAACAGTCAAAATAGCAGGTCAAGTTATCAGGCTGGATCTGTCTACCTGAATCTATTAACACAATATAAAATGCTGTCTTACCCCCAGGTTACTGCTACAGCGCTTGAGGACATGAGCTCTTTTGGCGTCATAACCGTCAGGTAGCTCACATTCACCAGCAGGTATAAGCCAGTCACCAGAGAAATGGCAATCACAACCGCCCTGGGGAGATTCACCTGGAAGAAAAAAGGCAACATCATTTTTATGTTTAAGATAGCATGATGTTTAGTTGTAATTTTGACACTTGAATAGTCGATTGACCTAAAATCATTAACTGAAGTATTTTTCTGCTTTGACAAAGCACGTTTAAAAATGTTGTTACCAATCCTGTCCCATTAACAAAGTGATAAGGTTATGAAGTTTCTTAGTAAAACTATGTACACTCATCAAATGTTAGGTTTCCTCCCAATTACAATAGTCAATAAAAGGAAACGATAGGATTCGAACATCCAATGGCACGTCTTTTTAATGCCCAAATTCCAACAAGGTTCACTGTAAGCTGAAGCTTTTTCTTTTAGGCAAGATGTTAATAATTGAATCTCTTCTAAGAAATGATTGCTTCAACTTTTGTCAAGCATTATAATATTCTACAATCATTGTTTTGATATAAAAATACCAATTAGGAAATTCAACCTTAAAAAAAACCTAGATAATCTATTTTCACATTTTACAATCACTGCACACACTCACATGATAATAACACTAACAGACACACACCTTTGTCACAGTTAGATAAGACTACAATTGCAGCAAACAAACACATGTCCTCACAGTGTGTTCATGCAACAATCCAATTCTTTACAGTCTCACCTCAGGTCTTTTTAGCTCCTCAGTGACATAGTTCAAGTTGTACCACCCAGCGTAAGACCAGAGTCCTTGATAAACACCCATTCCCAGAGTGCTCAAAGAGTACTGAGTGCCTTTAAATGCATTCTCAACTTTCAAATTTTCCACAATGACACTGCTGCTCTGTATGAGCTTCACTATTCCTCCGATAACAATAAATGTCAACACCAGCACTTTGGCCACCAAGAACACCACTTGGATTCTGACGAAAATCCGGGAATTCAAGATGTTTACTATGGCGACGACAAGTATAGCCACAGCTGCAACACACTTCACTACCAGATCAGGAGGTTGGCAGCCGTTGTAAAAGGGTGCAAGAGCATATTCTGCAATGCTAATCGCCACTGGTGCAATGCCAAACGGCTTCACAACCACAACAAAAGTGATTGCTGCAAAAAAAAGCAGGGCATGAACCATAGATCCTCAGTATGTAGATGCCCACTATGCCCAGATCACAAGACTCGCTCCAGGGCTTCCAACGTAGCCCATTACAAACTGAGGGGACATGAATATACCGGATCCGATCATGGTCCCTGATACTAGTGCTACGCCACCAATCAGCCCAATTTCTTGCCTCATTTTCAGGGCTTTAGGTTCTTTGTCCGTCATGGTCATATCGGAGCGATGATTGGGAAAACACTGCAGATGTAATGGGCAGACAACTGCTCAGAGATACCTGAAGAATGTAATCAAAAGATAATAAAAAGGGATCAAAGTATACCTTAGATTTTGTATTAACTCGACTGAAGTTGTAAATCTTTTACTTTTACCTACCACTATTGGAGGGGGTGTAGCCGCTGTAGAAGGGGGCAGAAAAACTACAGAGCAATTTCTGTTGCAA